AAAAAAGCGTGAGTTACACGCGGTACACGCGGCTGCCACGAGTTAGGAAAGTCAGCGGGAAATCCGCGCGAACAAACGCGTCGTCGCGAATAAGCGTGTGTACACGAGAGTTCGCGTCTTGTGTTGTCGCCGAACACCTCGTGTTTGCCGCGATGTCGAACTGGCCGGGGTGTTCTGGTTTCGCAGAGATTTCCCCCGCGGATCGGGGGATGGTGAGGTGGGGGGATTTCCCGGCGGCGGCAACGGCGGCGGCGATTTGCGCGGGAAGCGTGCGCGCAACCTGGGGCACCGCCGTCGCTCCGCTCCGCTCTTCTTCCGCTTTGCGACCACACACGACGAGAATGAAGCCGTCGCTCTCTCAGGTGATAGAACGAATGAATAGAGAGATAGATCTCTGTATGTGGCTTCACGCGCCGAGACGGCGCTGACGTACGCGCGCGCGTCCGCGTTGTCAAGCTACAGATTAGAGTTACGGAGTTACAGAATGCGGTCACTGAGAGCTCATCGAGAGAAAAGAGGAAAAGACACTTCTGAGAAACCGCGACAGATATTTTATGCGTATTTCGAATACCTACAAATTCTTTGCTGTTCACAATTAATTTTCTTTTAATGAAAGTGATATTAACTATATCGGGTCAAAAATATATCACGTTAATTTTAAATATTTAAATATCATTGAAAAGAAAAATCCGATAATAAATTAAAATTGAAAATTTTTAAGGCTATAATATAAAATATTTTTAAAGAAATATTAAACTGCTTTTTTATCGATAACTTTTAAATGCGTTATTCTAATGCGTCCTTTCATTTACGGTAAATTTTTCCATGTGCGACATAATTATCGCAACGCATACCGCAACGCGTGGTCGACAGACCATTTCAACCGTGCCCGTTCAATCTGCATACAGAGCGAAACACTGACCGGATGTTCAATGAATTTTAACACAGCATGCCTAGATTATATTAGAGACAACTACGCTGAATATGGCAGGCATTCGACCTGCAGTCCTCATCAAATTTAATACATGTACTGGAATTTCAAAGTGCTCAAATGAATAAGTTTAGATATAGTTAAAAATCATCCCATAAACATTTAACAAAGACCAAATTATTTTACACACCAACGCATTCTGTTGCAAAAAATTCCATACGTTTTTAGTATTTGCTAACAATGTATGAATTTTTTACGGCTGTAAATTTTTCTCTTGCGACTATTTTGAGAAAATAATTCGGTACTATGTTATATATTTCGTATACACAGATGAATCATATTTTATTCTGCCGCTGCTACATCATGTCAAAATCTCAAAATTCCGAATCAAAACTTCGAATAACAAAATATTACTTTAAATTAGAAAAATACTTTTTTTATCGTTTTACGCAACGCGCAATATGTATATCGCACATCATGCAAGTCACCGTAAAGCGTATGCGAGTTTTTTTCTCCGTCGCAAAAAAGTTTACGGATGTGTTGTTCAAGCTTCTTCGATGTGAAGAGACGTTATTAATGATCTTAAAATAGCCAAGATTCAGCTAAATACACTTAATCTTTCTAACGCGATAAAAAAACAAACTTATCGCAACACGACGCACAACATCGTGTAAACACGAAGAAACTTATCAATTTTTAAATATCATTAAAGACACGATGTATCGCGATTCTCCGGTCAAAACCGAGTTTCTCTTATTGCCAATATTTCTTTCTATTGTCGATAATTTTTTTTACAAAACATATTTCTAGCGGCTAAATATTTTGTATGCTTGTAAAGAATATAGAGCGTATTGGAAGTCAGCTTTGCGCATTCTGCACATCGTGAATATGTCACAAAGTATATTCAAATGTGCCAACAATTTACATATGCTAAAACACTGTTTGCATTTTTCAGAGTTATACAATCTCCTTTTCTTTCTTTTTTTTCTTCGACACAGTGCTCACTGTGTTACATAATTGGATGTGAAAATAAAATGACTCATCTGTGTAAAAGAAACAGTTGTACCGCCTAAAATTTTACGCCGATCAATATTTATTTTGTAGACGAAATTTGCAAGCGACAGATGCAAATGCGTGTATCTCTTTTTTACATATACGTGTTTTTTTAACGTAAAACTGTTAGGTATACGATTATATAATAAGAAATTTCGAAAATAGTGATCTGACCACAGTCTGATATTACTCCCAGTCCTAATTCTCAGTCCAGGCTGATAAATTGCGCTAATGAAATACTGTTCGTTAATAAAAAAAAATTAACAATGCTTCTGATTTCCATAAGCGTTAATCCGAGGATAAATCTGAGCACAGGCTTGTTGCAAATCTTAGAGAAAAAAATGGAGCCGAGGAAAAAGGAGCAGACGCGATAGATTACAAGATTGTACAATTGTTCGCGACACGAGTAAACAATTCTGTTGAATCTGCTAGAGTGTCGCGTGCAGTAGCGCAGAAGACTAACGAATGCGATAATTAAGCGCATTCAGGCTGTTTAGTTTATATTGTTGGATAGGTCACGCGAGTCACCACGCGCACGTACGACACAATGTAGCCAATTGAGCGCTTTTTAAAAATAGAGGAATTTTGGTGCAAGCAAGTCGTATCACTTTTCGCAAATGCAACCGAGCAAAGTCCGTCCGCAACAGTCTGCTGTAATGGATTGCTACTAGATAATCATCAAATAAAATCGCTTACGTAGTCCGAGAGTTAATTCCATCATTTAGATGAGCCATTCAGCTATTTTCATTCAATCTGAGAAGTTTGTGTTGGACGCTCTCCAGATACACGGGATTGAAACACGTGATTTTGATGGATCGCGCGCGCGTTGCGCTGGCGGCTTTCCGAACGAATTTATGTCTCATAATTAAACGGACCCGCACGCTGTGCCCGATTCAGCGAATCCGTTGCACATTGCGCGGCGTAAATGACGGCATTTCCGGACACGTCGTCTGCGAATGGTGACTAAAGTTTACGTTACCCGGAGAACCACCCCTTTCAAATGCAACGTCGAACGTATTCTCGTGTGTCGAAAATGGAGCATACCACATCATGCTTCTTACATGGCTGTAAACAGATTTGGTAATTGAAGTTGGTATACACGTTTACGTATACAAGCGTGTCCGCAAAGTGTCATTAATGGCGAGTCGTGATGCCGGAAATAATCGCCGTGCCCATCGGAAAATCTAATTTCAAGCTTGTCAGACACAATATCTTCGGCCCGGGTTTAGCATCGGTCAATCTTCCGCGCAACAATTGAAGAGCTTAAATAATTAAATTCGCCGCCTACGGAATTTTCAGTCGGACCAAATTATTAGTAATCTATATATTCCACTTAATAATGACGGATTTACAGAAACGAGAAAAAAAACATTGGATTTGCTGTTTACTGAGCAATTATCGTAATTAATTAATTATGATACGATTCCGCTTATTATGAGAAACGGAAATTTAGTTGTTTAATTAATTAATAATTAAATTTAATCCGTTTAAATAAGTATAATCTTTTATTTTATAATTTTTATATAAAAAAAAAAACGCAGTTTCTGGAAGACGGTAGGCGTTCATGTGTCGCGGCATATGCAAGCGTCCTACACTATCAATCCATGCGTTAATGCCACTTTAGATAAAAACATTTGCATAGTCTGCAATTCCACTCGTGTGCACTCAGGTTGCACTCATTCTATCGTAAAATGATACCCGTGTGCAAGAATCTGTCGTCAT